GGTGCCACGATCGCTGATAAACCCAAATTGGAGAGGGTCAAAATTGGAGAGGGTCAAATTTGGTATCAGCACATGAATCAAGAAAACCTAATTCAAAAACTTTGGACAGTGTATTAGAAACAATGATGGGTCGATAATTATGCAGTTCTGAAGGGTCAATGTTAGGTTTTTTAAGAATAGGTACTATGTACCATCCTGAAAAATATTAGGCACAAAACCGAACTCTAAACAGATATTCAATACATAAGCTGGATGTCGGGAATTTGTGTGTGTAAACTAAATTTTAGATGTTCGACAGAAATACCGTCGGGTCCTGGTGAGGAACCTCCGTTAAGTTTACCAATAGGCCTATATTCAGATATAGATCTTCTATTAAATTAAGCTACAATTTTTAGGTAAGTTTACTTGCAGCCTATTAAATTTAGCATTCACATATTATTGAGCATTGCTTAGAGTTTCATTACTTAAATTGGATTTACTAAATTTATTTTTGAAATAGTCAGTGAGTTTGGTAATAGAGATTGCATTTTAATCGGACATATTGCTGTTTTTTGTATCTTTAACAAGTTTCCAAAACCTTTTTGTTTTACGCTGACAAAGTAAATTATTAAAAGTACGGAATTTATTCGTGGATGCATTTTAACTGCATTTCTACAAAGAGTTCTGTAACACTTCTTTGCGTACTTATAGCATTGAAAATGTGACCAGTACGTGGTCTTTTTAAAGTTTCGCATAGGCCTGTATCTTTTATATTAAAATAATGCCTAAGCCTATGTTTAATCTTTTCTATATGTGGGGAGCTGAGTTTTGTGATTATCTATACCATAATAAGAAACTACTTTGTTTGTTTTCACTTTGCGGTGATGCGCCGGGCATAGATACATTTCACTGCGCGTATCATGTTAAAAAGCCTACGTAGCCGAACACGTTTTTCAGTCCTTTTTCTTGCGCGGGTCTGAGCAGTGACAAGACTGTGTTACTGTAGTCGTAAACCAAGTACTGTTTTGATGACATTGATTTGTTCTGGTGTATCCATTCATCATCGTTGGTGCAGTACGGTAGTAAGTACTGGTAGTATAGTAGAACAAGGCAGAGGTCCGTGCAAGTTAAGCATGTATTTACTGACAGAGAGAGCAGGGGTTTTTCTTTTGTTTGGCTTTTTCTGGTTCTGATCAAGTTGTGACGACACTCGTCCGAATTAAACATCGAACTGAATTTAAAGCATATATTTGCAGTTAGCGTGTTTTATTCTTGTCTAAGCCTACCACAAAGTGGTGTCAGAAATGGGACTCGGCGGCTACAGTGAGACGTTACAACCGTTGAAAGACCCCTGGACTGTGTTTGTAGATGCAAGAGAGCTGTATCTAACCACAGACTGTAGTTTGAAAAGTCAATTACGGCAAATTGTCTTGGCTTCGCCAACTAAATCTTTTGTGGATCTGCGGACCGATCTTTTAGACATTTTCCCGGACAGCACAAGTGCTAAGGAAGTAGCAGTTCGGGCTGTCAAGGCAAGTGAGGATGAAAAGATCACCAGTCTTCAGAAGGAGATGACAGAAATTAAGAGTACATTGCAGGAAGTAGTGGAAAAACTAAAGTCGAGTACACCTTCATCCCCAGTTGTGAAAAAAAGATATAAGAAGTATACATTTAGATGTTTTAGGTGCAATAAAGAGGGACATAAGCGGGTAAACTGCCCTGAGAGATCAAAGTAAGAACCTGCACCTCAGCCAGATGTCCCTGGGGCACAAATTCATCTGACATCAGGCCAGATTGTCTGAGTTAGTGTGGAGACTGAGTGTTTACCGAAATTCCTGATGTCGCCAAGTCTCATTTCTAATGTTGAAATTAATGATGTATTGACAATTTCTCTTCTGGATACGGGAGCGGAGGCAGGTTAATTATGACTTATGATTTCTTTAAACAACATCTAGCCAACATAGAATCGATGAAAACCATCGACAACATCATGAAAGTGGAGAGAGTCTCGATGGTCACACTCCCAATAGAAGGCTATGTTCGAGCGATTGTGAAGCTAAACAACAAAGCGGAGGTTGGGTTCCTAGTACTGAAACCTGGGTCTACACTTAAGCATCCAATAATTCTAGGGTGCAGTGCTCTACGACCCCTTCTGTCGTTAAACAGTAGCGTGCCGTTAGCAGAGAAGACCCTAGCCGTCCAACCGGTAAATGTTACCGTTGCCGAGGGGCAAGACATACCTCCACTCTCTGTCTGCCAGGTAAAAGGTATGGTGAGATGTGAGGACCTGGTAGACAATGACTTTTTTTTATTAGCTCTTGGTCGAAAGACGGAACACATCAAGTCGATGTTGTTGAGGGATGTTCCCGGACTGACAATGGGAAGATTCCTATTGAAGTCGTTAATCACTTTTCCGGCAAGTTGACGTTGGCTACGGGTGACACGGTTGCTGTCGCTGTTTGAGTGGAGGATAAGGCTGAAGTTATGATGCACGACAAGTGACATGTTGTCAGTCAATGTCTTGGATATAGTGGAGGAGAGCCGAAAAGAAGGAAGTATTGAAGTGGTTGGGGTAGCAAGCAGCCCATCTCAACCAAATTACTATGAATGTCAGGATGACAGCAAACTATTACAAGACACGCTAGACAAGAAAGAAATTCAATGCTCCAAAGCCCTGTATGTCAACACCGTTGTCCCAGATGGAAAACAATGGATGGATCTTACTTTTTATGATTCAATTGGTAATGGGTTGCCTTGTCTACTTTCCATTTGATGTTTCTAGAGTGCTTGGATTGGTGGTAATTTTTGTCATATTGTGTGATGTACTATCCTTCTTCAAGATGAAACTTCAATCAATGATGAAGCAAACTTATAAATCCCAGACTAGTGGACTTGTTACTAATGAGGAACAAGCGAATTCTGCGAGTGAATCTAGTGACAGTGAATGGGAAGATATATTGGTTGAAAGAGACCCAGTCCCAAGAAGACAACGTGTAGTTGTACGACGTTCTAACAGAAGGACGCGTGGTCAGCATAGGAATCCTTACCATCACCCCAGCTATGCAGCAAATCATACTATTTTTCTTACAATGCAGTATTTGATAATAAAAAAAAGAGTTTCGTTATTCATAATAAAAAAAAGGTTCGCTATTCATAATAATAAAGAAAAGGTTCGCTGGTCATTATGAATAAAAGATGTCGCTACTCATAGAAAAAGAGGTTCACTAGTCATAATAAAAAGAGGTCCGCTATCTGTAATGAAAATGGAGCCCCAACGCTGGTACAAATTTGGAAGCTTTTAAAATGTAAATATAAAAATTTATAAAATAAAAAAGAAAGTATATTAAACAACACGTAAAATATTTGAATTAATAACTGTAACTATTAAAAATAATTTAAAACCACACTTGAAGCAGTTGTTTACAAGGTCTAAATTGAGAGTCATATGAAGTACTATACTCATCTCCATTTGAATGCTCACCACGCCACTCCCCTTCGCTTGTTTCCTGAATAAAGAGTTATGAAGTATCCGTCAGTCAAAGTCAAAGTCAAGGAAGTTGTACACAAGTCAAACAAATATAAGCATATGGTATTACTGGTGTGGATTCAATGAGGGCTCAATTTTACCTTGAATCATCTGGATGGCAGTTGCAGGTTGGTATTAACGCTAGGCGTACCTAGGCCGGGCCCTAGGCCTAGCCTAGGTAGGCCCCTCTAGGCCTAGCTATTATGCGTAGGGCCTAGCCCATACAGAACTCGGCCTAGGCCTACTACTAGCTGGCAAATGAAATGGCCTAGGCCCTACTAGGCCTAACTGTGGTGGTACAAAATTTATTGAAAATCAGCCCCAGTGAATCATGAATGCAGATTGATCACAATAACAAAAATGGACGGCCTAGCCTAGGCTTAGCTTAGTCCTCCTAGGGCCTAGGCCTACATTAGAAGGTTTTTAAGTCTCAAACTACACCCAAATGAATGGAAATTCATTATAGAATCTTCACAAATTATGGGGAACCAGATATCCTTTAAATACGGCTTCCTTCCAACAAAAGTGCTTTGTCAGAGTTTCTCTGGACCCAGTAGGGCCTAAACGGGCCTCAACCTAACTAAGGCTCACTTCACTTGCAAGTGCACCACCTGAATTCGATCCAACTCGGCCACAAGTCAACTCGGCCACAGTCAACTCGGCCACAAGTCAACTCGGCCACAAATCAACTCGGCCACAAAAAGTTCGGCTGCAGTCAACTCGGCCACATGTCAACTCGGCCACAAGTCAACTCGGCCACAATAATATTGCTGTTATTATTGGTGTCATTGTTATTATTGTTGATTTTATTACCGTTAGTTTTAATATTAATTATTAGTCTTAGCATTAACATGTATTGTTTAAATTTTTGCTGATATTATTATTGTTACCATATAAATAATACAAAATTCTAGATTT